TCTTAACTTCTTACTTTTGCATTCCAGTCCCCTATAATGAAAAGGACATCTTTTGGGTGTTAGTTCTGAAAGATCTTGTAGGTCTTCATAGAACCATTCAACTTCAGCTTCTTCAGCATTCCTGGTTGGGGCATAAGCTTGGATTACAATGATATTGAATGGTTTGCCTTGGAAATGAACAGAGATCATTCTGTCGTTTTTGAGATTGCATCCAAGTACTGCATTTCAGACTCTCTTGTTGACCATGATGGTTACTCCATTTCTTCTAAGGGATTCCTGCCCACAGTAATAGATATAATGGTCATCTGCGTTAAATTCACCTGTTCCAGTCCATCTTATTTCACTGATTCCTAGAATGTCGACGTTCACTCTTGCCATCTCCTGTTTGACCACTTCCAATTTGCCTTGATTCTTGGACCTAACATTCCAGGTTCCTATGCAATATTGCTCTTTACAGCATCGGACCTTGCTTCTATCACCAGTCACATCACAACTGGGTATTGTTTTTGCTTTGTCTTCATCCCTTGATTCTTTCTGGAGTTATTTCTCCACTGGTCTCCAGTAGCATATTGGGCACCTACCGATCTGGTGAGTTCATCTTTCAGTGTCCTATCTTTTTGCCTTTTCATATTGTTCAGGGGGTTCTCGAGGCAAGAATACTGAAGTGGTTTGCCATTCCCTTCTCCAATGGACCACATTCCATCAGACCTCTCCACCATGACCCGACCGTCTTGGGTGGCCCCACATGGCATGTCTTACTTTCACTGAGTTAGACAAGGCTGTGGTCCTGTGATCAGATTGGCTAGTTTTCTGTGATTATGGTTTCAGTGTGTCTGCCTTCTGATGCCCTCTCACAACACCTACCGTCTTACTTGGGTTTCTCTTACCTTGGACGTGGGGTATCTCCTCAGGGCCGCCCCTCCTGACCTTGAATGTGTAGTAGCTCCTCTCGGCCCTCCTGTGCCCATGCAGCCACTGCTCCTTGGACGTGGGGTTGCTCCTCTCCGCTGCCGCCCCTGGTCTTGGAGTTGGGGTAACTCCTAATGGTCTTCATTAGGACTCTCTTATTCCTCAGTCCTTGCATGCACAGATTTTATCATTCAGATCCCATAAATTTCTAAATTTCTGAACCGGGAGAAAGTTATCCATAAACATAACATAAACATAACATATCCATAAACATATCCATAACATAATCTACTCAGCACCTCCATTCCTGATTTCTCTATGTCTAAAAATAAAATTGGCGGAAGGGTCATTACCCCACAGCAGGAAAATATGACTGATCTTCTCCCTTCTGGGTCTCAGGAGGAGGATCCCACACTGACTGTGATCACCTACGTGGGACTCAGCCTTTCTCTGCTGTGCCTCCTCCTGGCGGCCCTCACCTTCCTGCTGTGCAAAGCCATCCAGAACACCAGCACCTCGCTCCACTTGCAACTCTCACTCTGCCTCTTCCTGGCCCACCTGCTCTTCCTGACAGCCATCGACAGAACTGAGAGCAAGGTACGCATACTGCCCCAGAATATCCCTGCCCCAGGGATGGTGAGCCCATGGGGCCATACTGCATTGGACTCCTTAATATAATGGGGTTCCAGGTAATGTTAGATGGATAAGTAGCCAATTCACATGGACTGACACAACTAGAAAGCAAACATTCAATTGATAATTCATTCATTTACATCAGAGTTATCCCCAGTGGCAAGTCATAGAAGCCCTGGGGCCATGCTCCATCCTGACAAACCATCCTGGTGACATCTTCCTCCTCCTCCAGGTGCTGTGTACCATCATCGCAGGTGCCCTACACTATCTCTACCTGGCCTCCTTCACCTGGATGCTGCTGGAGGGTCTGCAGCTCTTCTTCACTGCCCGTAACCTGACGGTGGTCAACTACTCCAGTGTCAACAGGTTCATGAAGAAGCTCACATTCCCAGTGGGCTACGGAGTCCCGGCTGTGATTGTGGCCATTTCTTCTGCATCCAGGCCTCATCTTTATGGAACACCCAAACGGTGAAAGCAAATTCCCGCCATCCTTACTTCTCATGCATGACTATGGCTATCATAGAACCAACATAGCACTTTCATTTTATCTTTCTTAATTTATTCATTTTAATTTAAGGATAATTACTTTACAATATTGTGGTGGCTTTGGCATACATCAACCTGAATCAGCCACAGGTGTACATGTGTAACCCCATCCTTAACACCCCTGCTTCATCCCTCCCCACCCTATCCCTCTGGGTTGTACCAGAGCATCAGCTTTGTGCGCCTTGCTGTTTGCATCAAACTTGCACTGGTCATCTATTTTACATGTAGTAATATACATATTTCAATGCTATTCTTTCAAGTCATCCCACTGTTCCCTTCTCCTACAGAGTCTAAAAAATCTACTCTTTACACCTGTGTCTCTTTTGCTGCCCTACATATAAGATCTTCATTACCATCTTTCTAAATTTCATATTTAGGCATTAATACACAGTATTTGTCTTTCTCTTTCTGACTTACTTCACTCTGTATAATAGGCTCCAGTTTCATCCATCTCACTAGAATTGACTCAAATGAGTTTCTTTTGACAGCTGAGTGATATTCCACTCTGTATATGTACCACAGCTTCCTTATCTATTCATCTGCTGGTGGACATCTAAGTTGCTTCTATGTCTGGGCATTTGTAAACAATGCTGCAGTGAACATTGGGGTATATAAGTCTCTTTCAATTCTGGTTTCCTTGGGGAGTATACCCAATAGTGGGATTGCTGGGTCATGTGACAGGTCTATTACCAGTTTTAAAGGGATCTCCACACTGTTCTCTTTAATGGTTCTACCAGTTTGCATTCCCACCAACAGTGTAAAATTGTTCACTTTTCTCTACACACTCTCCAGCATTTATTGTTTGCAGACTTTTTGATAATGACCATTCTGACCAGGTTGAAATGATACCTCATAGTGGTTTGATTTGCATTTCTCTAATAATGAGATGTTGAGCATCTTTTCATGTGTTTGTTAGCCATCTGTATGGCTTCTATGGAGAAATGTCTGTTTAGTTCTTTGGCCTACTTTTTGATTGAGTTGTTCATTTTTCTGGTACTGAGCTGCATGAACTGCTTATATATTTTCAAGATTAATTCTTTGTAAGTTGTTTTATTTGCTATTATTTTCTCCCATTCTGAAAGCTGTCTTTTCACCTTGCTTATAGCTTCCTTCATAGTACACAAGCTTTTAAGTTTAATTAGGTGTCATTGGTTTATTTCTGCTTTATCTCCATTATGCTGGGAGGCGGGTCTTAGAGGGTCTTGCTGTCAGAGACTGTTATGCCTATGCTTTCATCTAATAGTTTTATAGTTTCTGATCTTAACATTTAGGTCATTAATCCATTTTGAGTTTATTTTTGTGTATGGTGTTAGAGAGTGTTCTAATTTCATTTTTTTACAGGTGGCTGACCAGTTTTCCCAGCACCACTTGTGAAGAGACTATCTTTTCTCCATTGTATAAATCTGCTTCCTTTGTCAAGGATAAGGTGTCTATATGTGCATGGATTTATCTCCAGATTTTCAATTTTGTTCCAGTGATCTATATTTCTTTGTTCCAGTACCATACTGTCTTGATGACTGTAGCTTTGTAGTATGGTCTGAAGTCAGGAATCTTGTTTCCTCCAGTTCCATTCTTCTTTCTCAAGATTCCTTTGGCTATTTGAGGGTTTTTGTGTTTCCATGCAAATTGTGAAATTATTTGTTCTAGTTCTGTGAGAAATAGCATTGGAGTTTCATAGGGATTGCACTGAATCTATAGATTGCTTTGAGTAGTATACTCATTTTCACTATATTGATTCTTCCAATCCATGAACATGGTATATTTCTCCATCTATTTGTGTCGTCTTTGATTTCTTTCATAAGTGTTTTTTTTTCCCCATTTATTTTTATTACCTGGAGGCTAATTACTTTACAACATTGCAGTGGTTTTTGTCATACATTGAAATGAATTAGCCATGGATTTACATGTATCTTTTGTTTCCTTAGGTAAATTTTTTCCTAAGAATTTTGTTCTTAATGTTGCAATAGTGTATAGGATTGTTTCCTTGATTTCTCTTTCTGATTTTTCATTGTTTGTGTATAGGAATGCAAGGGATTTCTGTGTATTAATTTTATATCCTGCAACTTTTCTATATTCATTGATTAACTCTAGTAATTTTCTTGTGGCATCTTTACAGTTTTCTATGTAGAGTATCATGTCATCTGCAAACAGTGACAGTTTTACTTCTTTTCCAATCTGGATTCCTTTTATTTATTTTTCTTCTCTGATTACTGTGGCTAGGACTTCCAAAATTATGTTGAATAGTAGTGGTAAGAGTGAGCACACTTGCCTTGTTCCTGATTTAGAGGAAATTGTTTTCTATTTTTTGCCATTGAGAATAATGTTTGCTGTGAATTTGTCATATATAGTTTTTGTTATGTTGAAGTATATTCCTTCTATGCCTACTTTCTCGAGTTTTTATCATAAATTGTTGTTGAATTTTGTCAAAGGCATTATCTGCATCTATTGAGATAATCATACCATTTTTTATCTTTCAATTTGTTAAGATGGTGTATCACATTGTTTGATTTGAGAATATATTGCATCCCTGGAATAAAATCCACTTGATCATGATCTATGATCTCTTTAATATGTTGTTAGATTCTGCTTGTTAGAATTTTGTTGAGTATTTTTACATCTATGTTCATCAGTGATATTGGCCTGTAGTTTTCTTTTTTGTGGTTTTGTCTGGTTTTGGTATCAGGATGATGGTGGTCTCCATAAGGCTCTGACCCAGGTGTGCTGTGCATTTTGTGCCCTTCCCAGATCCAAGCAACTCAGGCGACCAGATGCTTGGTGAGTGCACTGTCCTAGGTGGGCCATGCATCTTATACACCTCCCCAGTCCAAGCTGCTCAATGTATCTGTTGCACATCTATGCCAGGTGTGCTGTGTGTCTCCTCTGGGGAGCTAGTCTCAGGCTGTGACACTCCTGGCCAATGTGAACTGTCTAGGATCCAAGGAAGACGTGGTTATCGACTGACGTGCTCACATTTCGGTGGGAATTGCAGTCTTGGGGCCAAGATTGCAGCAGCCCCTTGCATTCCAGCTCTGGCTGTCACACCATTACCTCTCTGCCTCCAGGGAAGGAGGGTCGTAAATGGCAGCAGCTTAGTCTCCTTTGGTTTTCACTAGGGCACAATATTTGTTCTGTGAGCTCACCAGGTGTCACCATGCAGCACTTGAGCCTACCTGCAGGAAAGGTCCTTTGGCTTTCTTTGTCTCTCTGATGTTCACATGGTTTGGGTTACTGTGTTACATTAGCCCCCTCTGATTGTCCACAGGGCATTCAAACCCAGTCTTTACCCTAAGAACCAGCCATGCAGCCCAAACCTCTGTACCCAACCCCACTAGCTGCCAGTGGACTTGATCATCTGAGCTGCTTCTCCACTAGTAATTGAGGCTCAGCACGTATTCTGTGGTGATTTTTTTTGTTATGTTGCCCCCTGAGATTCCTCTATCTCCCAGAGTTTACTTAAGTTTATATCAGTTGCATCAGTGATGCTATCTAACCATTTCATCCTCTGCCACTCCCTCCTCCTTTTGCCTTCAATCTTTCCCAGCATCAGGATATTTTTCAATGAGTCAGCTTTTCACATCAGGTAGTCAAGGTAATGGAGCTTCAGCCTCAGTCCTTCCAGTTAATATTCAGGGTTGATTTCCTTTAGGATTAACTAGTTTGATCTCCTTGCAATTCAAGGGACTCTCAAGAGTCTTCTCCTGCACCACAGTTTAAAAGTATCAATTCTTTGGCACTCAGACTTCTTTATGATCCAACTCTCATATCCATAAATGACTACTGGAAAAACTATAGCTTTAACTATATGAACCTTTGACAGCAAAATGCTGTTTCTGTTTTTCAATTTGCTATCTAGGTTTGCCACAGCTTTCCTTCCAAGGAGCAAGCGCCTTTTAATTTCATGGCTGTAGTCACCATCCACAGTGATTTGGGAGCCCAAGAAAATCTGTCACTGAAAATCTGTTTCTGCTTCTATTTGCCACCACATGATGGGACAGGATGCCATGGTGTTAGTATTTTTTAATGTTGAGTTTCAAGCCAGCTTTTTCACTCTCCTCTTTCACTCTCATCAAGAGACTCCTTAGTTTTTCTTCACTTTCTGCCATTAGAGTGGTGTCATCTGCATACCTGAGGTTGTTAATATTTCTCCCTTCAGGCTTGATTCCAGCTTGTGATTCATCCATCCTGGTATCTTGCATGATGTCTTCTCAGCCTTATGTAGTCGTTCCCCAATTTTGAACCATTCAGTTGTTCTTCAGTTGTTCCATGTCCAGTTCTAACTGTTGCTTCTTACCTACATACACGTGTCTCAGGAGACAGGTATGGTACAGGTATGGTGGCCTGGTACTCCCATCTCATTAAGAATTTTCCACAATATGTTGTGATGTACACAGACAAAGGCTTTAGTGTAGTCAATGAAGCAGGAGTAGATGTTATTCTGGAATTCCCTTGTTTTCCCATGAGCCATCGGGTGTTGGCAATCTGATCTCTGGTTCCTCTGCTTCTTTGAAACCCAGTTTGTACATCTGGAAGTTCTTGGTTCACATAGTGCTGAAGCCTAGCTTGAAGGATTTTGAGCATAACATTGCTAGCTTGTGAAATGAGCACAATTGTACAGTAGTTTGAACACTCTTTGGCATTTCCCTTCTTTGGGATTGGAATGAAATATATTATGATATCTGTCTTTCTCTGTCTGCCTTACTTCACTTAGTATGACAATCTCTAGATCCATCCATTTGTCACAAATGGTACTGATTCACTCTTTTCTATAGCTGACTAGCATTCCATTGTATATATGTACCACTTCTTCTTTATCCATTCCTCTATTGATGGACATTTATATTGCTTCCATGTTCTGGCTATTACAAATAGTACTGCAAAGAACATTGGAGTGCAGTTATCTTTTTAAGCCATGTGTTTCTCCAGATATATCCCAGAGTGGGATTCCTAGATTATATGGTAGCTCTATTTTTGGTTTTTTAAGGAATGTCCATATTGTTCTCCATAGTGACTGTACCAATGTACATTCCCAGGATTAGTGTGGGAGGATTACCTTTTCTCCACTCCCTCTCCAACATTCATTTTCTGCAGACTTTTTGATGATGGCCATTCTGGCTGGTGTGAGGTGGTACCTCATTGTGGTTTTGATATCCATTTCTCTAATAATTAGCGACATTGAGCATCTTTTCATGTGTTTTTTCACTATGTAACCATCCTGGTATCTTGCATGATGTCTTCTCAGCCTTATGTAGTCGTTCCCCAATTTTGAACCATTCAGTTGTTCTTCAGTTGTTCCATGTCCAGTTCTAACTGTTGCTTCTTACCTACATACACGTGTCTCAGGAGACAGGTATGGTACAGGTATGGTGGCCTGGTACTCCCATCTCATTAAGAATTTTCCACAATATGTTGTGATGTACACAGACAAAGGCTTTAGTGTAGTCAATGAAGCAGGAGTAGATGTTATTCTGGAATTCCCTTGTTTTCCCATGAGCCATCGGGTGTTGGCAATCTGATCTCTGGTTCCTCTGCTTCTTTGAAACCCAGTTTGTACATCTGGAAGTTCTTGGTTCACATAGTGCTGAAGCCTAGCTTGAAGGATTTTGAGCATAACATTGCTAGCTTGTGAAATGAGCACAATTGTACAGTAGTTTGAACACTCTTTGGCATTTCCCTTCTTTGGGATTGGAATGAAATATATTATGATATCTGTCTTTCTCTGTCTGCCTTACTTCACTTAGTATGACAATCTCTAGATCCATCCATTTGTCACAAATGGTACTGATTCACTCTTTTCTATAGCTGACTAGCATTCCATTGTATATATGTACCACTTCTTCTTTATCCATTCCTCTATTGATGGACATTTATATTGCTTCCATGTTCTGGCTATTACAAATAGTACTGCAAAGAACATTGGAGTGCAGTTATCTTTTTAAGCCATGTGTTTCTCCAGATATATCCCAGAGTGGGATTCCTAGATTATATGGTAGCTCTATTTTTGGTTTTTTAAGGAATGTCCATATTGTTCTCCATAGTGACTGTACCAATGTACATTCCCAGGATTAGTGTGGGAGGATTACCTTTTCTCCACTCCCTCTCCAACATTCATTTTCTGCAGACTTTTTGATGATGGCCATTCTGGCTGGTGTGAGGTGGTACCTCATTGTGGTTTTGATATCCATTTCTCTAATAATTAGCGACATTGAGCATCTTTTCATGTGTTTTTTCACTATGTAAGTATTTTTTGAAGAAATGTCTGTTTAGGTCTTTCTCCCATTTGTTACTGGTTTACATATATATATATATATATATATATATAGAGAGAGAGAGAGAGAGAGAGGACTGTGTACATGAACTCTGTACACTTTGGAGATTAGTTCTTTGTCAGTTATTTCATTTGCATCATTTGCAAATATTTTCTCCCATTATGAGGGTTGTCTTTTCATCTTTTTTATGGTTTCCTTTGCTCTGCAAAAGCTTTTAAGTTTAATTAGGTCCCATTTTTATTTTAATTTTATTTTCATTACTCTAGGAGAAGAATGGGATAAAAAGATCTTGCTGTAGTTTATGTGAAAGAGAGTTCTACTTATGTTTTCCTCTAAGAGTTTCATAATGTCTGACCTTGCATTCAGGTCTTTAATACATTTCGAGTTTATTTTTGTATATGATGTTAGGGAGTTTTTAATATCATTCCTTTACAAGTAGCTGTCTAGTTTTCCCAGAACTACTTACTGAAAAGATTGTCTTTTCTCCATTGGTATATTATTTTTATTGTGTCAATATTGTTCTGCAACACTCTGTATGTTTTATGTGTATGACATATTTCTATGTTTTATACTCTACAATATTTTTACCACTGATAATTGGGTTTCTATCCATCACCATACAGCCGAACCACTTTGCCCATTTCACCTCTCCCCAAGCTCATGTTTTCTCCTCTGTCAGTACTCTATTATCTTCATCTATGGGGAGAAGGCATTTGTTTGATTTAGGTAGTTCATTTATTTTGTTTGTTTATTGGTTTGTTATATTCCACATGTGAATGAAATCAGACTGTATTTGTCTTTCTCCATCTGACTTCATTCACTTAGCATAATAAACCCAGCATCCATTCATGTTGTAACAAATAGGAAGATTTCCTCATTTTTATGGCCAGGTAGTACTGCATGGCTGGTGTGTATGTGTGTGTATCACATCTTCTTTATCCTTTGACAGGCACTTAGTATGCCTCCATATCTTTGCCATTGCAAACAATGCTGCAGTGAACATAAAAGTCTGCACATCATTTTGAGTTAGTGTTTTTGTAGTCTTTATAATTACCCATGCACGGGATAGCTGGATCACATAGTAGCTCTATTCTTAATGTTTCTGAAGGTCTCAATACTGTCTTCCATAGTGATTGCATCAGTTTGCATTCCTAGCAACAGAGTATAAGAGTTCCTTTTTCTCCACATTCTCACTGACAGTGATTATTACAAGTGTGTTTGATAAGAGCCATTCTAACAAGTGTGCTGGGATGTCTTGCTGTGGTTTTGATTTACATTTCTCTAACATTAGTGATATTGAAAATTTTTCATGTGCCTGCTGATCATCTCTATGACTTCTCTAGAAAATGTCTCTTTAGTCCTGTGCCATTTTTAAAGTAGGCTGTTGATGGCAGAGATGTGATCAAATGCACACTGGTACTCGCAATAAATTCCTATGCTGGACCATAAAAAAATCTGAATGCCAAAAATTGATGCTTTCAAATTGTGGTGCTGTAGAAGACTCTTGAGACTGCCTTGGATAGCAAGGAGATCAAACCAGTCAATCTTAAAGGAAACCAACCCTGAACATTCACTGGGAGGATGATGCTGAAGCTGAAGCTCCAATACTTTGGCCATCTGGTGCGAAGAGCTGACTCCTTGGAAAAGACTGTTTCTGGGAAAGATTGAGGGCAGGAGAAGTGGGTGACAAGGACAAAATGGTTGGATAGCATCACCAACTAGGTGACATGAGTTTGAGAAAACTCAGGGAGATAGTGAAGGACTGGGAACCCTGGCACGCTGCAGTTCATGGGGTCACAAATAGTTCGACACGACTTAGCAACTGAACAACTCACAACAAATTCTTATACTGGTAAAAATTGATGTCGACCCGCATCAGATGGTTTCTGGATCACTGACCTTTCTAGATAGTTTAGCAAAAAAGTCAGAAAACTTTCCCTATAAAATGCAAGATAGTAGATATTTTGGTTTTGTGGGTCAAACAGTCTCAGTTGCAGTTTTTCACCTCTGTCCTGGTAGTTCAAAAGCAGCCGCAGAAAAGATATAAGAAAATGACTGCAACTCTGACTCGATAAAACACATTTCCAAAATCAGACAGCAGCCCAGTGTGGACCACAGTCTGCAGTAAACCAACTCCTGTCTGTGTAGCTCTCTCTTTGGTTCTTCCTGGTGGATCCAACTAACATGATCCTAACACCTCCCAAATCTCACACAATTCCTAATTGGGATCAAGTACCAATTCTATCATTTCTACCAATGTGAAACTTCAGTTACTGACGCTGTATCCTTGTGCCTCAGATGCCTGATCTGTAATCATTTGATTACCTATGTTGTCATGAGGAATAAATTGTATAATGCACGTGAGCCCAGTCATAGCAGTGTCAGGCTTACTGTTATTCTCTCTCTCTCTCTCAATCATCCTCTCTCCCTCTCTCTGTTCTTGTCTGTCCCCAACTTTTTCATCCTATCTACACCTACTCATCCTTCACCTCTCATCATAAACACAACAGAATTCTCTCAGGGAACCCTTCCCAGTATCAGAACCTCCTATAGGTCTAACTAGGTTATAGACCCACCTACATGTTCCTAAAACTCCTCATATTTGATCATAAGTTTCAGCACTTTAATTGTTTCTATTGTCTAACTATCAACAAGCCTACAGAGCTAGAAACTCCTTGAAGAAAGAGATCACTCTCTTAATCATAACTGGATCTTCAGAACCAAGTACTGACCCTGATAGAGAAAGGGAGACTCTATATTTGTCTCACATACCATAAGTTAATATTTATTGATTTTTTTCTTTAAAACATGTACATTATTTTTGTGCCAGCATATGAGGGCCAAGACTTAAAAGGGCTTTTTAAAATAAATTTATACTTATTTAAAACCACTTTTTTACATTGCGATTTACATGGGGAAAACTACACATCATTAATGTGTATAACCTGACAAATTGGGAATAAGCATACACCCATTGCCTTTACTAATATCAAGGACATACATAAGCTTTCAGTTATACAAAATAATAAGTTCAAGAAGTCTCCTATAGAGCAAAGTGCCTATAGCTAATATTGTGTTGTGTATTGAAATGTGCCAAGGGTGATCTTATGTGAAATATTCTGACCAAAAAAAAAAAATAATAACTATGATTAATAATAATAAAGGAGTCAGGAAAGACTTTGAGGAATGATAGATATGTTCATCTATCAATTCTTTATCCACAAAGGCTAATATACTCTTGATTCTCAACCACCTCTCTTAGATGCTGGCTCAGCACAGAAAAAGGATTTGTATGGACATTTCTTGGCCCTGTCTGCACCATCTTCTCTGTGAGTAATGGATGACATCAGAGGATCTTTCCTCCCTGGCTGAGGGTAAATTAAAAGCACAAGCAAAAAGAAGGCTATGGACAGAGTGACTGATTATTCTTGTTAGCTCAGGAGTGAGAGGGTCCCAGGATGCAGAAATTTCCATTTTAAAACCAGGAAGGAGCATTTCCTTAGACATGGCACTCTCAGTGTTTAAACATGCAAATCCCCATGCAAACTGAGTTACTGGGAGTTCGGTCTGGTTTTCTATGACTGTTATGAAATACAAACCCTTCCTACCTGCTAATTTACATGTTGGATGAGCCACAAGGAAGGATTAGCAGATGTGGATGCACTTAATATCACTTGTGATGTTTCTGCAGATTAATTTAGTTTTCTTCCTGATAACATTCTGGATTCTGAAAAAGAAGCTCTCCTCACTCAACAGTGATGTGTCTACTCTCCGGAAGACTAGGTGAGATACATCAGAGGTACACATCGCCACCCTATCTGACCACAACCCCCTCAACCCCGCACCATTAAAAAGCACAGTCCAGGAGCAAGGACATAGAGTTCCAAGCTCCTGATGTCCCTTCACAGGGTTTCAAGGGGACTTGAGAGGAGGAGTTCAGCCACCCTTCTTGGAAGCTCGAATACTGTTTTGTTACTGATAGTCAAGTCAAAAATATTCCATTCACCTTTAACCCAAGAATGGAGCTATCTTAAATACTGAGGAAATTGATTTTGTTCTGATAAACAGGGATTACCATCATGACCCTATGAGAAAAGTCCTGAGAATATGTATAAATCCCTTACATACCTGATATAGGCCCCAGCATGCCCTTTCATGCCCATGTCTTTATTCATGTTTGTCCCGCTACCCTCAACTGCCCTGCTCTTCCCGGTGAAGTCAGGTTGATCATCCACATATCATATCTTCTAAGAAGCCAAGGATATCCTTTGCTTTCTTTTCATTTACACAGAATGAATCATCTGACAAAGCTTGCTCTGGGTCAATTCATGGAGATGGAAAAGATAGGGGCATCATTGGAGGGACCAGGGCAGAGGGACCTTCAATTTCACAAGTATAATTGACCATTTGTATTTCTCTCCCCACTAGGTGGTAAGGTTTGTGAAATCAGAAATCTTGCCTTTGTTATTTTTAATACACAGGACCAGCACAAAGCCATGTGCACAGAACACCCACAGTAATATTAGTTGATTGAAACTGTGAATATTAATCCTATTACTGAAAGCCACATTGTGAAGTTTCACTACCAACTTCAGTCTAAGATAATATGCCATTCCGGAACCAAAAAAAATTTTTTTCTTTTAGATAATCGTTCACGGTAAAGGTCAGAACGGCCACAACTTAGTCACAGACATTCTTTGAGTTGAAAAGAGATGGGCTTGACTGTGTTGATCAGGGTGCATCATGAACCTTTTTTGTCCTCCTACTCAGGATGCTAACATTTAAAGCCACAGCTCAGCTCTTTATCTTGGGATGTACATGGTGTCTTGGAATCCTGCAAGTGGGACCAGCTCCCCAAGTCATGGCCTACCTTTTCACCATCATCAACAGCCTGCAGGGTTTCTTCATCTTCCTGGTGTACTGCCTCCTCAGCCAGCAGGTACCACTGTCTAACTCCTGCTCAGGACTCTTCTCATCCTCATTTGTCTCTGTGAGCTGATGCAGAGCATGCTTTGTCTCTATAGGTGCAAGAGCAATACAAGATATGGTTCAAAGGGATCAAGAAAAAGAAAACTGAGTCTGAGGAGTACACACTCTCCAGCAGGACCATGTCAGAACCCTCTAAACACAGTGAGGTAAGATCATGCATTGCCTCAGAGCACTTCACTGATTGATTCATTGAGCAGTACATGCCTATCATACTGGACAATTGGGTATAAAGCAGGTGATAACTTATGATGACACACACTGGTTTATATCTAAACTCACTCAGGACTCACTCTGTCATGAAAGAATGTCTTCCTCTTACTTATGCTCATTGCATTTCTATGCTCATCTTGACTCTCCCACATAACTATCTTCTTATTCTCCACCTGGGTTGAGCACCTACTTTGTCCATGCAGCAAGGACTCTTTCTTTCTTTCTTTCTTTCTTTCTTTCTTTCTTTCTTTCTTTTTGTGGTGTCTTTGTTTTAGGTTGTTTTTTTTTTTCATTTTTATTAGTTGGAGGCTAATTACTTCACAACATTGCAGTGGGTTTTGTCATACATTGACATGAATCAGCCATGGAGTTACATGTATTCCCCATCCCGATCCCCCCTCCCACCTCCCTCTCCACCCGATTCCTCTGGGTCTTCCCAGTGCACCAGGCCCGAGCACTTGTCTCATGCATCCAACCTGGGCTGGTGATCTGTTTCACCCTAGATAATATACATGTTTCGATGCTGTTCTCTTGAAACATCCCACCCTCGCCTTCTCCCACAGAGTCCAAAAGTCTGTTCTATACATCTGTGTCTCTTTTTCTGTTTTGCATATAGGGTTATCGTTACCATCTTTCTAAATTCCATATATATGTGTTAGTATACTGTAATGGTCTTTATCTTTCTGGCTTACTTCGCTCTGTATAATGGGCTCCAGTTTCATCCATCTCATTAGAACTGATTCAAATGAATTCTTTTTAATGGCTGAGTAATATTCCATGGTGTATATGTACCACAGCTTCCTCATCCATTCGTCTGCTGATGGGCATCTAGGTTGCTTCCATGTCCTGGCTATTATAAACAGTGCTGCGATGAACATTGGGGTGCACGTGTCTCTTTCAGATCTGGTTTCCTCGGTGTGTATGCCCAGAAGTGGGATTGCTGGGTCATATGGCAGTTCTATTTCCAGCTTTTTAAGAAATCTCCACACTGTTTTCCATAGTGGCTGTACTAATTTGCATTCCCACCAACAGTGTAAGAGGGTTCCCTTTTCTCCACACCCTCTCCAGCATTTATTGCTTGTAGACTTTTGGATAGCAGCCATCCTGACTGGCGTGTAATGGTACCTCATTGTGGTTTTGATTTGCATTTCTCTGATAATGAGTGATGTTGAGCATCTTTTCATGTGTTTGTTAGCCATCTGTATGTCTTCTTTGGAGAAATGTCTGTTTAGTTCTTTGGCCCATTTTTTGATTGGGTCATTTATTTTTCTGGAATTGAGCTTCAGGAGTTGCTTGTATATTTTTGAGATTAATCTTTTGTCTGTCAGCATGGACTTTTTCATGCTCAAACACTTAAGGGAGAGAATAGTCCTGTGTTAAGCTCAATAAGTAAACTCTGGATCTGAAGCAGAGATGCGCAAGCTAACCAGAGTCACAGGACCATCATTTAACCCATGTCAACACCAGGACCCCTCTATATGCATGTGTGTGCCAAAATGCTTCAGTCATGTTTGACTCTTTGTGACCCTATGGACCATAGCCTACCAGGCGTCTCTGTCCATGGGATTCTGCAGGCAAGAATACTGAAGTGGATTGCTATGCCCTTCTCCAGGGGTTCTGCCCAACCCAAGTGTTGAATTCTTGTCTCCTGAATCTTTCCGCATTGGCAGACGGGTTATTTACCACTAGTGCCACCTAGGAGGCCACCCCTGTATATAGAAAACAGTAAATACATGGTTTATGTAGTCATAAAAGTAAAGTGAAATAAGGATTACATTAAATTGGAGAATTTCCTTAAAAGTATGTAATCATTCATGGGATTTGCAGCACACACAAATAATGCAAAACATCAGAGAATCACAAGGGTCATTGAGAGATCCTGGCAGTTTGAATCTTACCAAGAATTTGTATTTTTGAGTTTACAAAAACAGTTCTCATGTTTTCTGTTCATATATTCGTCACATCACCACTTGAAGATAAGATATTACCATGTTTCCATTCAATAGGTGAAAGCACTGAGACCCATGGGGTCTATATGAATTGTGCAAAGACTTCAGCCCACCCTTTCTCTCAATGTTTTCACTCTCTCATAGTGTCAATTGATGCACAAAAGTTTCAATTTTTAATTGATTTATCTATTTTAATTGGGGGCTAATTACTTTACAATATTGTGGTGGGTTTTGCTGTACATTGACATGAATCAGCCACAGGTGTACATGTATCCACCCTCTCAAGTCCCCTCCCACATCCCTCCCCATCCCACCCCTCTGGGTTGTCCCAGTGCAGCATCTTTGAGTGCCCTGTTTCATGCATCAAACTCGGACAGGTGATCTGTTTCACATATGGTAATATACATGTTTCAATGCTATTCTCTCAAATCATCCCATCCTCGCCTTCTCCCGCAGAGTCCAAAAGTCTGTTTTTACATCTGTGTTTCCCAGATCACCAGCCCAGGCTGGATGCATGAGACAAGTGCTCGGGCCTGGTGCACTGGGAAGACCCAGAGGAATCGGGTGGAGAGGGAGGTGGGAGGGGGGACCGGGATGGGGAATACATGTAAATCCATGGCTAATTCATTTCAATGTATGACAAAAACCACTGCAATGATGTAAAGTAATTAGCCTCCAACTAATAAAAATAAATGG